CTCAGGGATGCACAGGTGAGCTCAGAGTTGCACAGGTACAGGCCAGGATGGGACTAGCCAGCCAGTTCCACCCTCCTGACCCCCCTTTCTCCCGCAGGTGCAGCCATGGTGTCGGGCAAGCAGCTGGCAGACATGGGCTACAAGGCTTTCTCGGGCTCCATGATGCTGCTGACGCTCTACGGGGGTTACCTGTGCTCCGTGCGCGCCTATCACCTGCTCCAGCGCCGCCGCGAGCGCCAGGCAGCGCCAGGCCCCGACAGCTGAGCCTCCCCGGGCTGGGGGAGGGATGTGGAGAACAATAAATCCCACCTGGAAGTGGCCACTGTGGTGTGTGGTGTCCCCTGGGCACGGTCGGGCTGGGAGGGACCGGGAGGGTCAGAGTTCCAGCAGGGACACGTCGCTCTAGTGCATCCTCTGCTTGTCCCAGTTCAACCCAAACCAGGGAGAAAGCAGGAGGAAAGAGCATCCAGGTCCTCCCCCACCTCAGCCTGGGATTCACAGGCAGCTCCAGCTAAAGGGAAGATGAAGAAGCTGCTGATTCTCACGCCCTAAATTTCCTCACAGGAACAAAACTCTTGCAATAGAGACTCTGGAGAGCTCTCTTCCCCTCCCCTCTCCCTGCCCCTGTGCAGGACTCCAGGCCTGAAAGGAATTCTGTCCACACTGAGATTTATTGAAGGATTTCTGTTGGCTTCAATCAGCCTCTGAGTCACATCCACAGGTGTTTGGCTCAGCTGTTTGTCCCACAGGTAACGCTCATCTCACCCTGCTGGGGGAAAATATCTTCTCAGGCTCCATCAGGGGTTTCTCCCTGTTCCCAGAGGAGCCCAAGCAGCTCCAGCAAGGTGAGGATTGTGCTCCAAAGGAGGAAGACTGAGAAAACACCGTTCTCCTCCCAAATCTCACCTGTGTTTGACCCAATCCAAGCCCCAAAAAGTCCTCAGGAGCTGTTTCTTGGCAGATAACCACATCAGCCCAAGTGTCTGAAGCATCTTTTAATCAGAGATAAGAGTAAACAATAGTATAAAATGGTAACAACTCAAGAAGTTTCCAAAATTCTGCTCCTGACTGACCCTTCCATTGCCCCCAAGTACCATTGAGTTAAAAAAACAGACAAGCCCTGGGTCCCTCCACAGCTGCCCCAGCAGAGCAGCAACATTCACTTCTGTCTTGGGAGTACAGGACCAAAAACATCTTTTCTGGAGAGCTGAACCAGCCCCTCAGTCCTGCTCCACCCTCCAGTCCCAGTACAGCCAACTGGATCCAGTAGATCTGGGGAAAAACTGTCTCCAAAACCACAATATGCAACAGGAAAAAAACCCAACACGCAATTTAATAGGCCTGGATTGTGCTGGTTGACTCAGGGGCAATGACCCACCCCCCTCCCCCCTGGCAGAAGGCTGTGGGTGACACTTCAGAGGGGTTTGCAGCACCAAAAGAGGCAGCAGACGCTCCCTGGTCCCTGGTGGCAGCAGAGAGGAGCAGCTGTGGCCTCCTCAGCACCCCTGGCGAGGCAGAACAGCAGTTCTGGTGCAGCACAGTTCCAAGAGAAGAGTCTCTGCCTCACCCAGGGCAGTCTGGACGTGGAACCTGTGTTCTCCATGCCCTGAAGTGGCTTCTGGAGTGCGTGAAGAGCTGCTGCCCCTGCCCAGGGCGAACTGTCGCCGAGCGCCGCCATCCAAACCTGCTCTGCCTTGAGTTGATCCCAGTAAAAACCAGTTTGTCACAAGAAGACACCTCTGCAAACATCAACAGGACTCGGATTGAAGTACAAAATGGCTTGAAGTGAAACCTGCAGCTCAGTTTTTGGGGTGGTTTTTTTTCTGCCCTGGTCGGTGGCTTCATCCCTTCTGCTGTGCAAAGCCTCTGACTGCTCAGGGTCTGCTGGAGGTGTCTGGGGAAAGGGTTCTTGATTAAAGATCACTTGGGAATGTGGAGCTCAACACAGCTAGATATTGAAAGAGAAGTTCCTGTCTGCTCAAGGCCAGCCAGGGCCTTACTCCTCTCCTGTCCACTGGCCACCAGCCACGTGGCCGTTGCTGCGGTTGGAGCCGTTGCTGGAGCTGCTGCAAACTCCTTTTGTGCTGTTGGAGGTCACATCCTCCTCCTCAGAGCTGCTCTCCACGTCACTGCGGTCGTCCTTGGACACCTGAGCATTGGGGAGGTCACAGGGACAGTGGCAGAGGGGAAGGGGAGTTGAAAGATGGACAAGAAACAGCAGTTAGAAGGTTGTGTTGATGTATTAAGCACCTTCAGGCACATCTACCTCCTCCTCTGGAGCCTCAAGCAGCTCAAGCTCCCAAGGAGGAGCCTCAACCAGCTCAAGCTCCCAAGAAGGAGCTTGAATCAGCTTAAGCTTCCAAAGAGGAGCTTGAAGCAGCTTAAGCTTCCAAAGAGGAGCTTGAAGCAGCTCAAGCTTCCAAAGAGAAGCTTGAAGCACCTCAAGCTCCCAAGGAGGAGCCTCAAGGAGCTCAAGCTCTCAAGAAGCTTGAACCAGCTCAAGCTTCCAAGGAGAAGCCTCAAGCAGCTCAAGTACTCAAGAAGCAGCTTGAACCAGCTCAAGCTCCCAAGGAGGAGCTTGAATCAGCTCAAGTTTCCACAGAGGAGCTTGAATCAGCTCAAGCTCCCAAGGAGGAGCCTGAATGAGCTCAGGCACCTAAGCAGGAGCCTCTCATCACATGAGGGACAAGGCACAGCCACTGGAAATGACAGTTTGGAGAGCTGAGTCCCATTTTCCAAACACTCTGTACAAAGCACTTCACTGCTGCTCTCCCCAGAGCAGAGGACACTGCAGATCTGGGGCTGTCCTTGGTCTCCAAGAGCTCCTCTCCAGGCTGCCTAAAGGCCATTTGTCCAAACAATTTGGTTTGAATCACAAGTTTCACAAGCATCAGTGACTCTGGTGGCCAAAGCCAGGAGTGTATCAGCTAGAGAGAGAACATTTTGTCCCACAGGGAGTGGCTTTGGTACTGTATGTCTCACATCTCTGCCCACACACAGCACCTCCTGATCCCAACCCTGTGCCTCAGCCAGGACACCCCTCCAGGAGCCTGTGTGGAGAGCAGACTGAGGACAAAGGCACTGGCTGACCCAGCAAACACCCACTGGGAAGAGGAGAGATCCAGATCTGCTTCCAGGGTGATGTCCTGGTTCAGGGATTGCTGCAAATCCAACTGAGTTTGATGGGATGTGGGATTTGAACCTTTCCAGGAACACAACCTCCCAGAGCCAGCAGGGGAAGGCAAAGCTCAGTCCTAGCTGCAAACACACCTTGGGTGGTGGTAGGTGCCAGAGCCAAACCAGTTCTGAGCAGGGCCTGGTGTGGCCTGTGCTCCTTACAGCCCTGGTCTGCTCCCTGTGCCAGCTCTGGCTCACAGCTTCCCAAATATTCCAGGATTCCAGGAAGTGCTGGAGCTGCAGGGAAGGCCTGGCAGGGAGCCAGGTGTGGAGTTAATGATCTCCAGGATGGCTCTGCCAGGCCCTGGGGGATGTCCTGGGCTTAGCTGTTGCCAGAACTTTTGCTATCTTTCCCCATTCTCCTGCTCTGTTGGAAGTTCAAAGGGTCACTGGAAGGAAGTAGAAATCCCTGGAAGTTTTTCCCATTTTGGGGGGGATAAATGGCTGTTTGAGTCCTGTTTGCACAAGGCACCTCAGTCCTCCCATCCTCTCGCCCTCAGTGTGATGCTGAGGAGAAGGAACCACAGGAACCAGTCAGTGTCTGTGGGTGTGCAAAAGCAGAAGGTGAAGGTCATGCAGGTGACAGCAGGTAAGGACAGACCCCAGGACTCTGCTCTGACCTTTGGAAAGAATTGTATTTGGCACTTTGTCAGGATCAGGGAGAGAAGGAGAAGGCACCAAAGCCCCAAGAGCAGAGCTCTGCTGTTGTCTTGGCCTCACCACAGATGTGTTTCAGTGAGCAAACAGAACCACAGGTCACACTTACATGCAAAGGGTGAAAGTGTCCAGCTCCAATCTGGCACAGAGAAAAGGAGAAAAGAATGAAGGAGACAGAGCTTAGAGTCCTTTCTCTGGCTAGGTCACCTGGACAGGAGAGAACCAAGGCAAGGAGAAAGGTGTAGGCCTCAGGATACAGAACAGCTGCAGAGACAGAAAACCAGGAATTTGCAGTGGCAGCTGTGGGGAACAGATGAAGAGCTCAGCCCCAGATCTGCCTTCCCCCACAGCCACCATATAAACACTGCTCAAGGTCACATTCCACGTGGAGGAGCAGCTGAAGGCAAACACAGAGTGACACGGAGCTGTGAGAGAAACTCAGATCACACCACCACCACCTCACTGAAAAAAAAACCAAAACATTTGGGCTACATCAGCTCTGCATGCCCAGGACAGAGGAAGCTTCTCTGTGCACCCCTAGCAACTCACACCTGCAGAGCAAGCAAGGTAGGAAACTGTTCCTGTGCAACTCCTGATGCCAATCCCTGCAGAAGCTCCAGGGAGGCTCCAGTTTGTCAGGGTTCCTCCCAGAGCTGCCAGCAGAGAGGCCCCAGAGCCACCCTGGCCCTTACCTTGCCGCGCACCAGGGCCTTGGAGGCCGTGCGGATGATGAGGTAAGACCAGAAGATATGCAAGACCTGTAAGGTCACCAGGAGCCCATTGAAGAGCCACCAGGAGGGGTAAGGACCGATGAGCTCCCAGCTCTCAAACAGGGTCGTGTTGAGAATCCTGCAAGAGAGGCAGAGAGGTGTCTCAGAGGGGCTGGGGGTGAGGGCTGGGCTGGCTCAGCGCTCCCAGCTCGGCGTGGAGGTGCCAGGCCAGACCCAGGGCAGTCTGTGTCTCAGTCAGCAGCTGCTGCTTGGCTCCTGCCACAGTCAGGAGACAGATCTGAGCTCACTGGAACTGAGCAGCAAACAGGAGAACATGTCAACGTGCTGCAGTTATGGATCTGCTGCCAATTCCCTTCTCCAGAGCAGAAACATTTGGAGCAGCTTCTCAGGAAGTGATGTCAGGCAGCACTGGTCACCAAATATCCCTTAACACCTTCCTGCTTGGGCTGTCCTCACCCTAAACTCAGGTAAAAACGGTGTGGGCACAGCCCCAGGGCAGGGATTGTCCTCTGTGCTGGCACTGGGGAGGCACTTCCAGTGCTGTGTCCAGTTCTGGACCCTCTCTGAGTGGGCTGGAGGTGTCCAGGGAAGGGAATGGAGCTGGGAAGAGGCTGGAGCACAGGGAGAAGGGGCTGCAGAACTTCTAAGAAGCAGCTGAAGGATCTGGGAAGGCTCAGCCTGGAGAAAAGGAAGCTCAGAGGGACCTTCTGCTCCCCACAATTCCCTGCCAGGAGGTGCAGCCCAGTGGGGTCAGGCTCTGCTCCCGGGGAACAACAGGACAAGGGGAAACAGCCTCAAGCTGCACCAGGAAAGGTTCAGGTTGGACATCAGGAGGAATTTCTCCATGGAAAGGGCTGTCAGGCATTGGAAGGGGCTGTCAGGGGGGGGGG